CAAATGAAAAATTGTGCCTCCAACAGACCCATGTATGTTGTAGAGGCCTCATAGGAGTACATCTTTGTGGCGTAGCTTTGCGGAAAAACAGAGTACTATAGGATAATTCAGCGCATACGAGGCTGCAATGCTTAAAACAGAAAAAAGTTGCGGATCCCCAACGACGAACTGTGCAAGAAGCAAACTCATATATGTTGTAGAAACCTCATAGGAGTACATCTGTGTGGCATAGCTTTGCGGGAAATCAGGGGACTACATGGTGATACTGCGCGTACAGGCCTGACTGCTTAAAACCGAAAAAAATAACGCAGAACCCAAACGAACGGGTCAATCATCCCTTGTATGCCCACATTCAGCCTGCAGTCCCCTGAGGTCTCTATAATATATGTGAGTCGGTTGATGGCACAATTATTCGTTTGGGTTCTGCGATTTTTTTCTGTTCTAAGGGGTCAACCCTTGTATGCGCAGAATCACCCTGTAGGTCTCTAATCTTTCCCAAAGCTGTGAGATAAGGATGTACTTTCATGAAGTCTCTACAATATATATGAGTCTGTTGGATGCCCAATTCTTCGTTTGAGTTCTGCAATTTTTTCCATTTTGGGAAATCAACCCTTGTATACGTAGAATCACCCTGTGATCCTTTAATTTTTCGGTGAGCTATGCCATAAAGATGTACTCCTATGAAGCCTATACAACATATATGAGTCTGTTGGTTACACAAGTCTTCGTTTGGGTTCTGCGATCTTTTTCCGTTTTGAGAAATCAACTCTTGTATGCCCAGATTCACCCTGTAGTCCCATGATTTTTCGCAACGATATGCCACAAAGATGTACTCCTATGTGGTTTTTACGACATGTATGAGTCTGTTGGTGGCACAATTCTTCGTTTGGATTCTGCGATTATTATTTTCTGATTCATGGGGTCAATCTCTGTATGCGCAGAATCACCCTGAGGTCCCCTAACTTTTCGCAAAGCCGTGCCATAAATATCAACTTATATAGATCTCTACAAAATATATGAGTCTATTGGTGACACGTTTTGATTCTGGAATTTTTTTCTATTTTAAGGGGTCGACCCTTGTATGCGTAGAATCACTGTGTAAATATGTACTCCTATGAATTCTCTACAACATGTATGTTATGAGCCTGTTGGTGGCACAGTTCTTGGTTTGGACTCTGCTATTTTTTTTCTGTTTTAAGTAGTGAAGCCTGGTATGCGCAGACTCACCCTGTAGTCCCCAGATTTTACGCAAAGACTTAATAAAGATGTACTCCATAAAGTTTCTTCGTTTAGGTTCTGCGTTTTTTTTAGTTTCATACGTACTCCCGACACAAACGTGTCGTTTGTCGAAGTCACTCTGTATAACCCTAATTTAGTTTAAGATGTATGCCGTAATGCACTGGCCGGCTGAATATTTTTGCCCGCTCACACGTAGGTCGTTCTGGCAACTTTGCGATCACTATAGTATGGAAGATATAAACATTTATAAAAGACCACAACACAAGTAAAGGTATTGTTGATGCATTCAATAATTATTTCATAGAAAATATATGAAAAGAAACAAACCTACCAAATGTTCTGCCCAGAAGTAGTATACAACAATCAATTTTCTTAGAACTTGTGTATGAAAGTGAGATAAAAACGTCAAATACAGTTTGGAGAATAAAAAAAGTTCAGGTCTTGATGGTACACGATCAGAAATGTTAAAGAAGATTTCATCCGAGATCAGCAACCCCTTGACGTATACCGGATCAAGTTCCCTATACCGGGTGTCAACGAAATCGTTTAACAAGGCACTATTCTATTGCTGTTTAAAGAAGAACCTTGAATCTTTGTGTTAAGATACGACTTATAAAAACTCAGTTTATCCATTAAAAAACAACTGGATATCGCTTCCGGTTTGACCGCTTCAAATTTCCTTTTCAACGATGTATCACAAGTTGTCATTCTTTTTCAAAATGGCGGTATAAATGGCATTTATGCCAAATTCAATATGACGGCCTTTGACAGTATCTATGGATTTTTTGCCATACTAACCGCTAGTTTAAGAGGCAAAATGGATCCTCTTGCCGCTTCTACAATGAGTTGGCAAAAAAATCGTCATAAATTTGGGACCACTTTTTTTACTTAAAATGTCAAAATATATTTAAAATATTCTCAGACCTTTGAATAGGAACCGGAGCTTTCTAAATGCTAATAATAAAGAGCGTCTTATTTCCGGTCATCAGTACGTTTCTTTTGTATTTTTTTTTATTTCTAACGATAACAAGAACAATAGCGGAAATTACCATAGTAAAAGCTAAGTATCATTCAATTAAGTGTTCTTTGCGTTGGCCGCCGGCTTGTTGATATGACCTGATTCTCTTGATGTTTTCTATAAGCAATTCTCGTAAATGTTCTTGAGATATGTTTTCAATGACTGTTCTAATTCTATTTTCCAGTACTTCTAGAGACGGTGGGGGAGTGGCAGAATCTTTTTTTATATAGCTCCAAATTGGAAAATCCAGAGGGATTAAATCTGACGACCTTGCAGGCCAACGGATTGGTCCGCTGGTCCTAGCCAAGTTCCACTGAATCGCTCATTTTAGTAATTAGTTACGACCCTAGAGTTGTGGGCATGGGCGCTATCCTGCTGGTATAATAAATGTTCGTTGTTCTGCAGATTTTCTATAAAATGTTCTTTTTGGTTTTGTAAAACTTCCAAGTACATATCACGATTTAACGGTCGATAGAAATATATAGGACCAATGATATTAAACCCTGCTACGCCTAACCAAACATTCACTCCAAAACGTTCCTGGAAGGCATCTCCTCTCACTAGCCTTTGGTTCTCCTTAGCCCAATACCGACTATTGTTTCGATTAAACATTTCTAGATTAGTAAACCTGGATATAGTATATACGAGTACATATTGATCATGTAATAACCAAGTATCTCTGAATATTTGAATATAGAACAATAAAACATTTATATTATGCTGTGATCGAAAGTCGTATGAATTATGCAATATTAGTTTGGGGTGGAGCACTTAATGAACAAATAAATAAATTGGAAATTATCCAAAAACAATTTTATTATTAATATTTTCGCTCATAGTTCTCAAGTATGGTGGTATACTATCATTGAGGGCGTGTTCACCTCAACCAAAGATAGTTTTTCCAGAGACAGTGCCTTTCTCACAATATGACTCGTTTGTAATATAACGGCCTTTTGGAGTAATATGTGAATGCCGTTTGGAAGGTCACAAATCTTCAAACTGAACGATACTTCTTTGGTAACAGTTACTTCCATAGAGATAATAATGGGAATAATCTGTGCTTCCCTAATTTCTAAATCCTCTTCATTTCAATCGCTAGGTTCTGGTATTTAACAGATTTTTCTCGCTCTACCATGTCGATGTTTTGTGGTTGTGTGTACTTGTAAGCGATATTCCGAGCTCAACTATCGGCGATGAGAGCTCTTCACAATTTCAGGAACCTTCTAGAGGACATTGGTTTCCTGTACCAGTCTACCAGTAGCACATTATCGTTGGTGCGAGTTATTCTTGAGTTCAAAAAGGGGACTGATAGATTATCATCTTCTTTTTCGATGGTGAACTGAATGTAAGGGTCATAGCTATTGAAAACTTCAACGATACCATCCACTTCTTCAGAAGGAAGACAAACAATAATATCGTCCACATATTTTTTTATGAAGATCAGTTTATATGGCAATACTTGAATAACAATTTCAAGCAGATCATCCATGACATATTCTGCCAAAATTGTCCGAATATTCGAATCAACTTGATTGTCATTTGGATATTCGACCTGTGGCTGCTGGTCTATATCAAATAATTCCTCGACCACGTGATTTGGTTCCTTTGGAATGATTGATTTTGCAGAGGTCTAAATGTATTCTTAGTTGATACCGACATAGGTGTAGGCTTAGAAAATGATTGATTTTGATTTGGCTTAAACACATTGGATTGCTGTGCTTGTCTGGGTTTGCTTTGGCTACGATAATTTTGGTTATGAGGATAATTAGTAATAGGGTGGTCTAAATTGTGATTGTTGGGAATTTTGAGAATTTCGCCTAAAATGATTCGGCTTAGGATAGGATATGCAATTACCTGGTGCCTGCAGTGATAGATCATTCCTTTTGTGTGAATGTTTGCTTCTCTTAAGAAAGCTTCTAAAACCAAGTTGAATAGAATCGTATATAGCGGATCTCCCTGTTTCAAACCCTTTCTAATTTTAAAGCTTCTTGAGAGTCTACCTTCCACGCATATGGATGTTTCCTTCAAGGTGAGTTTTACGAGCCTAATAATTTCCCTTGATGTTTTGAGATTGACAATAACCTCGTAAAGTTTGTCCCTTAAAATAGTGTCATATGCTTGTTAAAAATCGATGAAACCCATGCATAGTTCCAAATTCTGTTCTTGACTTTTAGTTTAAATCATCTTTAAAGTAAATATTTGATCTGATGTACCTCGCCGCTCTCTAAACCCACCTTGGTATTCCCTAACTTCTTCATCATGGAACCACTTCAGTCTATTTCTTATTATTCTAGCAAGCACCTTATACGCTACATCCAGTAAGGTAACTCCTCTATAGTTTTTGTATAACATCGGATCTCCGTTTTTATATATGGGGCAAATAATGGCCCTGGACCAATCCTCAGGAAATATTTCTCTATGCCAGATACGTTCAGTTAAATTATATATTCTTTTTTGCAATTCTTTTCCTCCTTTATTTAAGTATTTCCGCAGTTATTCCATTTTCCCCTCCACTTCTATTATTCTTCATTTTCATTATTTCGCTCACTACTTCATCTTTCGTAGGTAAATCTATCATTGTATCTTCTGCCTCTTCCGGATCACAGCTCTCCCCACTTCTGCTTTGAGAGTCGTTGTTATTCAGCAATTCGTCAAAGTACTATGCCCATATTTCCAGTCGTTCTTGCTGATTGTTCAGTAGTTAGCCTTGCTTATTTCTGCAGTAGTTTTGAACTCTACTTACTTTCTTTCGGGATCTTTTGACCTTCTGGTAGAGGTTTCTGACTTCCTTATTAACAGTGGTCTTCAATTTTGTCAAGGTAGCTGTCCATGTACTTTCTCTTTTCACGCCTGCATATTCTTTTTGCTTCCTTTCTTCTTTCACTGTAGCTACTTCGATTGTCTAGACTATTATCTTCCAAAATTCTGAGTCTCGTAGCATCTATTTTTCCTTCAGAGCTATGCAACATTGCTTGTTAAACCACTGCTCATTTTTTGTTATTTTGTGAGTTATATCATCTGTTACTTGACCTCCATGAAGTCTTCTACTTATATTCGCTTGTAGTGCTCCGACCACACCCTCTTCTTGCGAAAGGCCAAGCTTGTATCTTGATCTTCCTTTGTTGCTCGTTGTCTTCAGCGATGGCATTTGTTGATAGAGCTTTGGTACTACCAGGAAGTCATCGGTATCAGCATCTGCTTCCCTGAAACTCCTCACGTCTTCTATATATCTTTCTCATGAATTTTTTCAGCACGTTTCTATCTGATTTTTCGTTCTTCCTTCCGGTGATATACATGTTTCCTTATGAATGGACTTATGATCAAAGCTTGTACTTTTCACTTTCATGTTATTTTCCTCTGCAAAGTTAATAAGTATTTCTCCATTTTCGTTAGTTACTCCATGTTTGCTTTTGCCCCCCGTAATGTGTATATATTGTTGCTCTCCTCCTATCATGGCATTCATACAGGTATCTCCCACCACCATTTTAACATCAAACTTTGGAATCTTTCCTGATGACTGATTAACTTCTTCATAAAACTCACTTTTAACGTCTATTTCTTTATTTTCAGTTGGAGAGTGAATATTTATTATTGAAATCTTTCTATATTTCCCTTGTAACCTAATTCTACATATTATTTCCGATCCTGCTTCAAAATCGACAATAAATGGACTTAGTTGCTCACTTATCATAAACCCAGTTCCCAAATACCTATTCTCCGCTCCGCTGTTTAAAAACATATATTTGTCTACTAACATTTGCTCTTTTCCTTTTTGTTTTGTCTCTTGTAGTGCTGAAATGTCTATTTTATATCTTTTCAGAATCTGAACCAAATTTTTCAAAGCCCCGTCTTCATGTGTGCCTCTAACATTCCACGTCCCAATTCTAATCAAGCTTGTCCTAAATTTCTTCTTTCGTTTTTCCATAGTGGTGTTTGTAATTCTGATGTTCGTGCTTTTCATCGCCGGGTCCTTGTGTATATAGCTGCCATCAATACCTGACTCTAGACTCTAAAAGTTTTTGTAGGCGTACTTCTATCCATTCTAGACAGTTTGCCCTATTGGATATCCCATCTCCATTCTTGTGTTACAATGGATATCTTCCTGAAGCCAATTTTAAACTGTTTCCTTTACCCTTTTCCTACTTTGCGCGAATACGAATTTGTTTTTGTATTTCTCTATTTTTTTTTTGACAGGTCATCTTGTATGTATATCAGTCCTCTTGATTGACTTTCAGTTTACTCTTATTTTGCATAATTTTGTTTTTTCTGCACGATATGGCAATTTGAGAACGTATGTTTTGTTTCCTAGCTTGAGTGCACCTTCTATATCGACTTCTATCTGTTATTCTTTTTCCATTAAGTTGGATAGCGAGCGTTTTAATATTACTCTTTATTATGACCATCTAGTCACAGGCCTTGGACCACGACATTATTTTTTTTGTTTTCCTTTTCTAAACGATCCAATCTATCATCCATATTCACTATGGTTTTGCTTAATGTTCTATTATTTTCTTGCAACCTCATGTTTTCTTCTCGCAGCGCTCTTATTTCCTCTCTATATATTACCTGTTCTTCTCTCGTTTTCTTAATCTCATTGTTCACGTCGGTAATTTTTCCTTGTATCGAATGCATCATATTCATCAAGATATCTATGCTTTCGTCAAGCTTCCTTTGGGTGTTCTGCTGCGATCTAACCATTTTTTTCGTACGCTTACAAATTTCGTCGTCACCCTCGCTATCCTCTCTGTCGCTTTTCCTTTTTTTATATCTATCACCTTCACTCCATGCATGTATTTTATTATGATCCTCCACGCAAAAAATCCTCGGCCAGTCGACCCGTCGGACCTTGGATTCCTTGTATTTGGGACAACACTTATTTAGGTAATAATTGTTCGATATCGATTTAAGGATTGATCTTACTTAAAAAAGGTTCTCTCCTCCATATGCCGATAATATTCCACTAGTCACTGTTGATTGATTCTAAGACTCGTAATTCACCAGCATTTTGAAGATTATTACGGAGTTGATGAAAACACAGTCTATATACATATATATATATATATATATATATGAGAAGTAGTCATTGCCAAAGCCAACGACTAGTTGGGTACAAAATACAATTACTTGTTAATTGGGAAATTGGCAAAACTTTTAGGCTTAAGTTGACTCTTTTGACGATAAAATCAAGCTTTCGGATTCTGAAAATACAATTGTGATGCTAGCAAAGAAGACTGATGTTAAGCAGCTCAGAGTCATGTATTCCTACCTGTTGAATTGCGAAAAGCTATGTCCAAATTGATCCAACATCTTCACAAAATTAGAATACATTTTCTCACTCACATTTTTAATATAAACTAACATAACCCATCTTTTCAAGGTTGTATCAATATCACACATCCTTGCACTCATATGAACCACACACTTTTTTCCAAAACAAGTTATTCCAGCATTTTAGTAATTTTGGGTGGAGATTTACCGAGCGTCCCTCGTATACTTCATACCCAAAGTTGGACAGGGAGGTGTACATTTCCACATTCCGTCGCGTCAATCACTTGTCTTCTGTCGACGCTTTACCGTTCCGTGCCTTTCCCCTCTCCACGTGTAACGGTAGTAGAAGGTTAGGGACTGCATTCCGATTGTTTCAACAAAATGTCTCCCCACGTGTAATATTTTTAGCTTGTTCGGGTGTATTGATATAATTTTTATTTTTTCTTAACTTTTAACGAAGATATCTGTCGTTTTTTAACAAGTCCAATGTCCCCGTCCTTTTGTTTTTATACTGAACACAAGTTCGATCTTCTCTACGTTATTTCTGAAACACCTTGTGGCTGCAACCTCACCGACGAGTAGGTTGTCTGACGTTTCAAATCTGTCTTCTTTGCTAGCATCACAGTTGTGTTTTCAGAATCCTGGTGATGGCTCCATAGAGAATGCTGAAAGCTTGATTTTATCGTCAAAAGAGTCAACTTAAGCCTAATAGTTTAGCCAATTTCCCAATTAACAAGTAATTGTATATACAGGCTGACTTTGAAGTTGAGTCATTAATTTTCAGATAATGATTGTAGAACGAAGATAAACCGGCATGCCCTCCCCTGTGAGGTCTTAAGTCACCTGATTCACGAGCCCTTTGTCCTACATTAACAAAGGCACGAGGAGGTGGGTTGCACTCGATTGGGAAACCGATTCGCATAAATCCGTAAATAAGAATCATGTCCACAAGTTCAGCATTTTCGTAAACATGTACCATTTCGTTTGAGCCACGCAAAAAACACCACTATTCACTCACGCGTTACCGACTGACGAAAAACATCGTGATAAACGTTTCAAATTCTTTCGCTTTTTTGTTTCCGATGCGATGAACCGATAAGGCGGATTATATCCGTTGTTGCCAAACACGAGCACATAATATTATTATTGTGACAGGGCGGTACTCAAACCTCTAAAGGGCTATAACTTTGTTAATTTAACTTTACCAGAAAAATGTTAAGGGAAAAAAACATTTCTTTTGATCAGATCTACTCACTGTTAAAATAAATGACTCAACTTCGAACTCACCCTGTATATATAGGGTACAAAATACAATTACTTGTTAATTGGGAAAATTGGCAAAACTTTTAGGTTTAAGTTGACTCTTTTGACGATAAAATCAAGCTTTCGGCATTCTCTATGGAGCCTTCATCAGGATTCTGAAAACACAAATGTGATGCTAGCAAAGAAAACAGGACAGATTTAAATTGTCAGACAACTTACTCGTCGGTGAGGTTGCAGCCACAAGGTGTTTCAGAACGAACGTAGAGAAAATCGAAAATTGTAATCAGTATAAAAAAAAGGACAGGGACATTGGGTTTGTTGCAAAACGACAGATACCTCCGTTAAATGTGAAAAATATCAATCCACCAGAACAAGTTAAAAATATTACATGTGAGACGATATTTTGTTGAAACAATCGGAATGCAGATTCTAACCTTCTGTACTCGCAACACGTGGAGAGGGGGACGGCACGGAAATATAAAGCGTCGAGAGATGACAAGTGATTGACGCGACGGACCGTGGAAATGTAGACCTCTCTGTCGAGTTTTGGGTATGAAGTATACGAGGGACGCTCGGTAAACCTCCACCCAAAATTACTAGAATGCTGAATTAACTTGTCTTGGAATTTTTTGTGTGTAGCTCATATGAGTGTAAGAATGTGTGATATTGATACAGCCTTGAAAAGATGGGTTTTGTGAGTTTATATTAAACATTTGAGTGAGAAAAAATATTCTAATTTTGTGAAGATGTTGGTTCAATTTGGATATGTAGACGTTCTAGCTTTTCGCAATTCAACAGGTAGGAATAAATGACACTGAGCTGCTTGACATCAGCCTTTTTATTCATGCAATGATCAGTCATGAAAATGTGGGACATTTCTAAAAATAAACGTTTTGAGAGTCTTTTTTCTATATCAAGAACCTCAACACTGCCATAATTCATGGAGTGACCTGTGTTGTTAATATGCGATACCAAAGCACATCTCTCTGGACGTAATCTGGAGTCACTTTTGTGTGAAGTTATCCTGCCTTTAAGCGACCTAGAAGTTTGGCCTATATACACTAAATTACAGTTGTTGCAATTAATACGGTAGACAGTATTGGTTGAATCATGCAACTGAACCTTATCCTTCATTTTGGACAACAAACTGTTGACCGTGAGCACTGATTTACAAGCAAAACGACAATTAAAGGAATTATACAGCCTGATCAATTTTGGTGTTAGTTCTTTGACGTATGACAAAACAACATAATTAACTCTGGGAATAGAAGTAACCACTGTCGTGCTGTTATTTTCGTTAGTTGGAGAAGTAATGAGTGTCTAGATGGACTGACCAGTGTTATCATTTTCACTATTGTTATTAGTCATTGCAAAATATTTGGAGGAGAGCTGAACAAGATTCTGTTAACCAAATACTTAGAATAGCCATTATTGATAAATAAGACTGAAAGCTTCCTTAAATTGGAAAGATGGAAAGTTCTGTCAGAGATTTTTATAACCCTGTTCTTCATTTGGACGCCGCCGTAGAACAACAGACCGTGAAGATCGCCGCCTAAGATTATTGGCCTTAAGGGACCGTTTCTCCACTACCAGGTCCATTGCAAATGAATGGTTTGC